AATTTAGGACTAAATTTGTCTCCACACATCTTTGGAGAACTTGTCCTAAGTGCTCTAAACATGCTTCAAAAGTGTCACACACAACCGAGAAGTCATCGATAAATACTTCCATTGAATCCTCCACCATGTCAGCGAAAATAGATATCATGGAACGTTGAAATGTAGCCGGCGCATTACATAATCCAAACGATATCTGGTTGAAGGCAAAAGTACCATATGGGCACGTAAAGGTTGTTTTACCTTGGTCTTTCGGAGCAATGGAGATTTGGTTATAACCGGAATACCCATCCAAAAAGTAATACCAACCTATCTCGGAGAGTCGATCAAGCATTTGATCCATAAAGGGTATGGGGAAAGTGATCCTTTTCGGTCCACAAATTTAACATTCGGTAATCCATGCATACTCTCCACCCGGACACCGGTCTTAAAGATACAAGATCCCCTTTTTCATTTGGGACTACCGTGATGCCTCCCTTTTTTGGTACATATTGTATCGGACTTACCCATTTGCTATCCGCAATAGGGTATATCACACCTGCATCTAACCACATTATTATCTCCTTTTTCACCACCTCTTGCATCGGTGGGTTCAATCTCCGTTGATATTCAACACTTAGCTTACAATCACTATCAAGCTGAATTTTGTGAGTGCAAATACCGGGAGGTATGCCCACTATGTCAGCGATAGTCCACCCTATAGCTTTGATATGCCTTCTCAACACCTCAAGGAACAATTTTATGTGCCAATCAAGCAAATTTGCTGCAATGATCACCGATAAGGTGTTATTTTCCTCCAAGAAAGCATATCGAAGATGGGAGGGAAGTACTTTCAACTCTAGATTTGGTGGTTCTTCTGTTGATGACTTTGCGGAAGGACTTTCTTGATTTTGTAAATCAATGTCCAACTTCAACGGAGTCTTTGAATACCCCCTAAACTTGATAGAGCCACTACTACCTCTTCATAGCCTTGAATTTCGAACCCATCATAGTTAGCAAGCATGGCTTCAAGTGGCTCACTCATACATATCAAATGGCTCACACTAGCCACTGCCTCATCAATAACATCAATAGTGGAGACCACGTGAATATCACTTGGGCGTTTCATCGACTTACACACATTAAAGGTTACTTCATCTTCATTCACTCGAAACTTCAATTCTCCGCTCTCAACATCCACCAACGCTCTTTCGGTTGCCAAGAATGGTCTTCCCAAAATGATGGGAATTTCAGCATCTATTTCACAATCGAGAATGACGAAATCAGCCGGGAAAATAAATCTGTCAACCTTTACGAAGATGTCATATAATATCTCCACAAGGTGTTTAATTGATTGGTCCGCCATCAAGAGTCTCATTATTGTGGCTTTCGGTTCCCCCAACCCAAGTTGTTTATAGATCACATATGGCATTAGGTTGATGCATGCTCCCAAATTGCATAGGGCTTTAGCAAATTGGAGCATGCCGATGGTGCAAGGGATGGTTAACGCTCCAGGATCTTCTGTCTTTTTTATCAGCTCCTTAGTCATAATTGCGTAACTATGGGAGACTTCGATTGTCTCAAAATCCAAATTCCTTTTCTTTGTGACTAACTCCTTCATAAACTTGGCATACCCTGGCATTTCCAACAATGCTTCCACTAGAGGAGATTAATTGATAATGTCTTGAACACCGATAAAAACTTCTTGAACTTCTCATCCTCATTCTTCGTCTTTAGATGTTGAGGAAATGGAGGAGATATTTTTGGTAAAGTTTGCATAACTTTTGGGCTTTGATTGTGTTTCTCCATATCCTTTTGTGGTCCTTTGGAAATGCTTTGATGGATATGTGCCTCTTCTTCCTCGATCCCTTTGTCTTCTTCATGAATTTGAACTTCTTCATTTCCTGTTACATCACTTATTGCCACCTTTCCACTTTGAGTAACCAGATTCAGCTCTATATCATCATCTTTCATTATCGTTTTTGGTTTCAATTGTGCTGAAAGTGAACTCAACTGACCTTCAAGTATCTTGATTGCATCTGCATGAGAGTTCACTTTATTTTTAATGATGAAAAGTCAACTTTTATCCTTTTTAACAAGTCATCTGAAACTTCGACTTTATCAAGGATGTATGACAACAAATCATTCACCCGTGGACTACTTGCACTCCCTCTGGATTTTGGGCTCTCACTTGAGTGAGTGTGGTCCTCTTCATGGTCCTCTTCCCTTTTCCAATGGTCACTATGCTCGGCCCAATCTTGATAGTATCTTCTTTGCTCTTCCCCCTTGTGATAGTTCCAACCTTGATTCCCGCCCTGTTGTAAATAGCGTGGGTGTAAACCCTCCTCGTATCTCTTGGAGTTCCAACCTTGATTCTCCCCTGGCTTTGAATAACCGGAGGAAGAACCCTCCTCAACTCTAAACACCCCACTTGCCCGCTTGGGCTTTTCCACATTCTCCATCATATGCTCTTGTAATAGCTCTATTTGGGTCAACATCTTCTTGATGTTTTCATCCCTATCTCTTTCCTTATCAAGTTGTTCTTGTGTCATTCTAAAACAAAATGGGGAGACTTGATCCTCTTGGGTGTACCACGCTTGATTTATTTTAGTCATGTCATCAAGAAGAAATGAAGTCACCTCAAATGATTGCAACATTATTCCCCCTTGTACCAATTGATCAGCCACCCCTTTATTAACCGAATCAAGACTCAGGTAAAAATATTGGAGTAGCAAATCATTTGGTTGCCCGTGAGTTGGGAATTTAAGTAAGAGTTTCTTAAACCTTACCCACATGTCATACATAGGTTCACCCTCCCATCGCTTGAAACATTGAATGTCGTCTCTAAGCTTCATCATCCTTGATGGGGGAAAGAATCTTGTATTGAATGCTTTAATCAATTCCTCCCAAGATGTGATGGAATTGTTTGGTAACTCGACCAACCACTTGCTAGCCACCCCGTCAATGATAGTGGAAATAATCGAAGTCGGATTGACTCTTGTGACACATTTTGGAATGACAACGGGTTGCACACCTCTGTAAAACTTCTTACATGCTCATGCGGGTCTTCGTGTGCTAGACCTCGACGTCCCATTTCATTCCCATCAAGGTTTCCTATATGGCGGAAGATTACGCTAAGCTATATTTGTGAGAGAGATGGTGAGGTTTCATGGGGTGCCCTTGTCAATTATCTCCGATAGAGGTACTCAATTTACTTCTCAGTTTTGAAAGTCTTTCCAAAAGGGTCTTGGCACTAAAGTTAAGCTTATTACAAATTTTAACCCCCAAACCGAGGGGCAAATGGAAAGAACAATCCAAACATTGGAAGATATGTCAAGGGCTTGAGTGATTGATTTCAAGGGAAATTAGGATGACCATTTGCCTTTAATTGAATTTGCCTATAACAATAGCTACCATTCCAGCATAGGTATGGCTCCATTTGAGGCCCTTTATGTTAGGAGGTGTAGATCTCCTATAGGATGGTTTGAGGTGGGTGAGGTTGCTTTGATAGGACCTGAGTTAGTTCATGAAGCTATTGAGAAGGTTCGACTAATTAGAGAGGTTGAGAATGGCCCAAAGTCGACAAAAATCTTATGGCGATGTTAGAAGAAGGAAACTTGAATTTGATGTGCTTGATTGTGTTTATTTGAAATTCTCACCCATGAAGGGTGTAATGAGATTTGGAAAGAAAGTGAAACTTAGTCCCCATTTTGTAGGCCCATACCAAATTTTGAGATGTGTTGGTAAGGTTGCATATGAGCTTGATTTGCCAAATGAGTTGGCATCGGTGCATCCGGTTTTCCATGTATGTATGTTTAAAGAGTGTGTTGGAGATTCGACATCCATAGCTCCCCTAGAAGGGTTGGGAGTGAAAGAGAACCTTTCCTATGAAGAAGTTCCGGTTGAGATTCTAGACAGGCAAGTTAAGAAATTGAGGAATAAAGAGGTTGATTCCGAGAAAGTGTTATAGAGAAACCATCTAGTTGAGGGTGGTACTTGGGAGACCGAGAGCAGATATGATGTCCTGGTATCATCACCTTTTTCACCCTATTCTAGCTTGAGGTAATGAGTTCCTCTTGGTTTGCTTATGTATGAAGTCATGTGCGTTTATGTGTTTTCATGATTTCCTTAAATTGCATGTTCATGAAGAAGCTTATAATTTGAATGAAAAATGGCTTATATGAATTGTTTTCCTCATGTTGTTGTGCATTGAGAATAAGTTGCCTATAGACTTCATGAGATGAGTTGATGAACATGTTTCAGCTATGATTTTTGAGATTGAATTGCATATGAGCTCTATGAGATAGTGTTGAACATGTTTTAAGTTTGGAGATGACAATACCTCCTTGAAGTAAGAAATTTGAAATTTCATGCATATTGGGTTGTTAAATGTAGTTCCTACTTCCTTATGGTGCATTAAGTATGTTTGGCTTGGAGATTATGTTTCCTCCTTAGTGGAAAGCATTTTGATAAGTTGCATGTATGATGGGCTGCTAGTCTAGAGTTTTTGTCTAGAAATGTGCTTAGAATCTCATTTGAGGACGAATGATCCCAAAGGGGAGATAATGCAACACCCCAGATTCAAAATGAGGCAAATAACAACGTTTGGGAAAACTGTAGGTGCTGACCAATGGTGGCCAACCATGAGCAGTGGTTGGGACCACGGACCGTAGGTGGGTCCGTGGTTGGGCATCTCAGGAAACCCAGGTTAGGGTGACGACGGGACCCATAAACCGTAGGTCCATCGATGCCTCGTCGTCCCTGCAACTATCGTTTGTCCAAAATTCTCTAACCAAGAACCAGGACTGAACAGGTCGGACCGTAGGCCAGTCGACGGTCCGTTGGTCGGGGATCCGTGGTTCACGGTAGGAAATTTATTTTAAGGGCACATGGGTCTTTTCTAGTTTTAGTTAAATCAATGTGGTGTTCTTTTGCCTAAGTCTAAAACACCTATATAAGTATTTTTAACTCCCAAAACCCCTCACTCAAGTCATTTTGTAGATTCCCGAAAAGAAAACCCAAATCCTCTCTCAAATATTCTCTCTCTAGAAGGTGGAAGAAGAAGAAGGAGATTGAAGCAAGGTCAAGATCAAGTCTCCCAATCTTCAAGCTTTTGTGGGCATTGTGACTAAGGTATGCTGGCTTTTCATCTATGGGATGCTTACTCCCATGGAGTCCTTTAGAATTCCACAATTTGAAGAAGAATCTACCCAATTCTAGTTAAGGTTTCTTCCAATGTTGTGGTTTATGTTGAATGTTGATCCAATTGAGTGTATTATGATTGTTTACAATTTAATTGGTAGGATTACATGTTTTTAGGATGAAATTACATGTACCCATGCCTATTTCGTGATTTGACCTACAATTGATATAATTGGGTTTGATGCCTTGAGGGAAACCTTATGGGTTTTGATATCTCCTTATAGGATTGATGAATTATGACTAGAATTGCTTGAAATTGAATCATATATGCTGAATATGATGTTAATTGCTTGAGAATAAAGCTTAGATGATGATCATGAGAATTAGGGCTTTGAGAGTAAAGCTTATGATATGAATTGTTGGTAATTGATGTTACTGTTAAGGAAGGGATACTTCCCACTTGAATTTTTTTAATTATGAATGTGTGACTGTGAAAGTCTTACTCACATGAATGATTCTAGGTTGAAAGGATTGCTCACCTAAAATGAATTTAGACTAAAAGCTTATGAAATTGATGAGGCTAGAGGCGATTACCCTTGACCTCCTTATGTAAGGTTATGAGGTGATTCCCATGCTCCTTAGAATTGAACAAGAGGTGAGTCCCAACGTTCTTACTATGATGAATCGACATGGAGGCGAGTGCTCATGATCCTTATGAATTGATGTGGAGGTGAGTACACGTGTCATATGATGAGATTGTGGAGGCGAGTACCCACGATCTAAAAGTAAGTAAGGAAAGAGACAAATACCCATTAGCCTTTATAATCTAGGCATTTAGGCAAATCCTTATGTCTTTAAAAGTAAGTATGAATAATGTAATTATGTTATGAGGATGATTTGATTGGAGTGTTGCTAGATATGCCTTCCATGATGCAAGCTTGACTAGAGGCAGATGACCTATGTCTTGGCTAAGGATAAGTAAGGTTACTGAAGGAAGTATTCCTTTTTTATTATAATGTTGATTATGTCTTATTTATGTTTATGCCTTATGTCGTATGTTGACTAATGCTTATGTTATGTTGTTGATGCTAGCCATCATAGTTAGTACTTGATTGTACTAACGCACACTCTTGGTTACATTTTTATCAAATGTAGGGTCCGGCGACATTGATTCTCACACTCTTGGCTAGCTTTGTTGTTGATCAAGAAAGTGAAGTTTTGGTGAGTCCTCATTGTGCTCGAGGAGGTGATCACCACTTTCTTTTATGCTTTCCCTTTATGTCTTGGACTATTGTATGGACTGTGACCCAAGACATTATTCATGTTGTTTAGATGGTTTGAGACAAATATGTTAGACTTATGCTCGTTTTATGAAAGAAGTTGATTGCATTGAAAGGTTTTAAATTGTCGCACATTTTCTATTACTTTATGTTATGATATCCTAAGTGGCTTGTATGAGGCCTCTCGGGGTCTTATAAGCCTTGGTACATCTAGGGGTACCCCTGGGTTGTGACAGATGTATGGGGTCTTGACTTCATGGGTCCGTTTGTCAGTTCGAGTGGGATGAAGTATATTCTTGTAGCGGTTGACTATGTGCCAAAATGGGTGGAAGCGGCAGTGCTTTTCAACTATGAAGGAAAGAGTGTCACCGCATTTCTGAAAAAGAATATATTCTCCATATTTGGTACACCAAGGGCAATTACTAGCAATTGAGGTTCTCAGTTTTATAATAAGTTATTCAAGGTGTTTCTTGAAAAGTATGGTGTTCGTCACTATGTAGCAACTCATTTTCATCCGCTGTCTAACGGGCAACTTGAAGTGTCAAATAGAGAAATCAAGTAAATCCTTGCTAAGACTGTCAATGCAAATAGAACTGATTGGTCAAGAAGACTTGATGATGCTCTATGGCCTACCGCTCAAGACTCCCATAGGTATGTTCCCTTACCAACTTGTATATGGTAAATCATGGCATTTCCCTGTAGAATAGAACACAAAGCGATGTGGACACTCAAGAAGCTAAAATTGGATTGGGGTGCCGCATCAAGTCAAAGATTGAATGAGATGAATGAGCTCGATGTGCTTCACCTAAAAGCGTATGAAATTTCAGCCTTGTACAAGAAGAGGATGAAGAAGTATCATGATCAAAACATCGATAAAAGCAAAAAATTTCCAAGTGATCTGGTACTCCTATTCAACTCAAGGTTGCGCTTGTTTCCTAGAAAGCTCAAGTCCAAGTAGACCGGGTCATTCAAAGTGACTCAAGTATTTCCACATGGAGAGATTGAACTAGAGAATAATGACGGAATGAGGTTCAAGGTGAACGGTCAGCGGATAAAGATCTACTTGGGGAAATCTGAGAATGTTAAAGAGGTGATAGAAAAATTGAGCCTTGATGAAGTCTGAGTAATCAAGATGTCTGTGTCATGCCACGACGTTAAATCAAGCGCTACTTAGGAGGCAACCCAAGATGTAAAATCAAGCCAATTTTAGGACTGTTTATTGATTTTTATGAATTTTTAGCATTTTTTTATTTTTATCATATTTATGAAATTTTAGTGATTGGGTAGACTATGGTAGAATAGAGTCCTTGTTTGGAAAGAGTCAAGAAAAATGTAAAAAGGAAGCACTAATGTTTGCGACGTGTGTAGGAAAGCAAAGAAAAATCTTCGAAATATGTGCCGGTGCAGTGGTCTACGATTTCCATAAACGGTCCGTTAGACAGTCGACGGATCGTAGATGGCATCTGTAGATCCCATGTATGTTCTCAAATTTCACTAAGTGTTATGGTGAACAACGGAACCCATCAATGGACCATCGATTGACTCACGGACTGTCGATAAGGTTTCATGGGTCCGAGTTAGGGTTAACAGTTGACCCGACCCACGACCGAAATTAATAAAATACCTTTCATTTTAAACATCCCCTATTTCCCTCTTTCTTCCCAAACGGTTACAACTCTCTAAATAACCAATTCTACCCTTTCCCAACCCTTCAATCCCTTTCAAACCACCTATAAATCCCCTTCATTATCTATTCTCTCCAAATTCAATCCTTACATTTTCCATTTTCTTCCCTCTCCCAAAAATCTGTTTTCCTTGCACATGTTGTGGATTCAATGTCAATACGTTCTTGGGTGTAAGGAATCTCTAAGAACACACTCACAAACTTTGCAATCACTTGTAAGGTAATTTCTTTCAAAAGTTGAACTATTCATTATTTAGTTGAAATTGCAAAGTTGCACTTCACCTTGTGTATGATCTATCTGTTAAATTTCGTAAATATAGTTCTAAATTACCCTTGGGACTATGGTGTTGTGAGTGTGTTCAGTAATTTGAATGATACATGTGAATCTAAGTCTAGTTGGGATCTTATCTTAGGGTTTCGGTTCAAGTTAGATTTTAAGTATTAATTGGGTGTTTGGAACAGTAGGGGTGATAGAAAATCATGTTAATGTGTTTTAATGCATGTTCTAGACATAGCATAGGTGTTAAGCTTTCTGTTGAAAATTGTTAAATTCTAAGTGAGAGCCCAGTTGCAACAAGTACTGGTCGACGACTATGACCCACTGGCCGTGGGGCAATGTACGGACCGTAGGTCTAGGTCCGTTGATCCAATGCACAATTCAGTGGCATTAGTTGTTAACCACGAGCTGGGTTACGGTCCGTCGTTCAAATGACAGATCATTTTGGTGGATCGTGGTTCCAACTTTATAGTTCTAAAATTGACTTCCTGACCAATGATGGGCATTCACAGTCCACCATTCAGTCGACGACCCATAGGTACCTACCATGGCTCTAAAAAAATTTACAGCCCAAAACATTTTCTAAGTTCAAATGATGTTGCAATTTTTTTCTTAGGTTGTTTTTATTTCTTTGAATACTAACAAGTCCCTTATGGCTCCGTCCCGTCGGTTGATAGAGGAGTCAGGTGGAGAGGAGTACGCACCAGAGCACACTAGAGGCTCCCCCGATGCTCCTTTGTCCACGAGGCTGTGAAATAGGAAACCGTTGGTGTCCGATGAGGAGAGATTATCAAGTCATGAAATTAGCCGTAGTTTGAGGAGGGGACCAGCTTCCGAGATAGTCGTAATCCTTCTCTAGTTCCAGCGGTACACAAGCCTTAGCATCTGATGCCAATAGCTCTAGTGAGGCTCTTGACTCCCCCGGCATACCAATGCATCTTATAATCAGATGATTTCCCGGATAGTTTCTGAGGATCACCGGGTTCTTACTAGGAGCCTTCACACTGTGCCTACTATTCATGAGCTTTTAAAGAAGCACAGATGTGACTGGATGGCGGAGAGCTTGTTCAAGTACAGTGAGGAGATGGTGAGGGATTTTATGCTTCCTATGCATCTACAGTGCAGAATGATATGCCACCACAAGTTATGCCATTAGTTCAACCTCCTCTACAAGCCACATTGGCACATGGTTTCTTTTTTGAAATTTTAGAGACCACTGATTAGTCCACAAATTGGACTCATTTAGGGCTTTATATTGATAGAAATAGTGTCCTCAAATGCTAATTTTGTCTCAATATCTGATTAAAACTCTTAAGTTTCAGGTATTTGAAGCGAAAGCATGGAAACTTAGGCGCAAAAAGGAACAAAAAGTCTGAAAAGAACGAAGAAGTTGAAGCGTGAGCATCGCCAAGGATACTTGGTGATTTGCCGAAGGGACGCACTCTGCCCTTTGTTCCAGTACGCGAAGCCTTGAAAGAGCTGGATCAAAAAGGCGATGAAAGGAGCAGTCAGCGCTTCACCGAATAGTTACGCGAAGCAGTACTATGTTGCCCAATGACATAGAGCACGACAATGCTGAAGGCTAGTGCAAGACTACGACGAACTACACCAAAGGGTGAATCGCCGAGTTTATCGGCGATTTCAACTAACCTAGTCAAAAGATCCGCCAGCACTATTTTCTGAAGTCTATAAATACTAAACTTGTTATTAATTTTTAAGAGTCGAACATTTATTTTAATTTTCACAATAGAACAGTACTTTTTTGGATATTTTCTCTCAAGTTTGGAAAGGGATTTTTGGGAGACTTGAAAAAAAGAGGATTTCATCTTCCCCAAGTTGGAAGTGGGTCTTCTCCATTCTTCTTCCTTTTCTTAAATCAAGGTTGAATTTCTTATTTCCATTTGATTTTTAGTATAATTTTAGGTGTATTTTGTTATATCTTGATGTGTGGCTAAAAACCCCATTCTTGGGGTGTGATTTAGCAACTATGTGTTGATATTGTTGTTGGGTCTTGCTTGCTGATAGGTTAGATGTATTTTAATGGTGATTTCACCTAGTGGTTGTGGTTTAATTTAATGGGTTTGTAGTTGCAAATACAAAACCACCCATTTGTTTTCGGCATGCCCGAGAGGGAGGTCTCGAAACCAAGACCACTAGACTGTGGCCTAAGGAGTGGGTCGACATGAAGTTCAGCCCGAGTGGGTGATCCCCAGTCCCATATCCTAACACTCCGCTCGAGAGAGTGAGTGGGGTAAGGCATAGGCTGGCCTTCATGCGACAAATGGGTGTCCGAGAGGAAGGCTTTTGAAACGGGATAAGTTGCCCGAAGGGAACTTATTTCCATCTAAAGCTTAGCCTAGTCACTATTATCTTGCAAATTTCCTGTCGAAAGCATGTACCCAATGATTTATCTCAACTTGTATTGCGGTCACACCCCAAGAACTTGTCCCCATACTTGATTTTCTTGTTATTTTTGTTGTTTTTACTACCTGTCACAAAACCCCCATTTTATATTTGACACCTTTGTGTCACCCCTTTTAATCTATAATATTTTTAATCGTTAATGTCTTTAGCTATGACTAGTTAGAACTAAATTTTATTGTTCTATTAATTCTCCAAACCACTCCCTTGGGACACGACCCCAACCCTTGGTTGGGTTACTATATTATCAATGGTCGTAGACACTGAAACCGTAGGTTAGTGTCGTTGGTCAAGATAAGCATCAAAATAGTGCCGCTGCTGGGGAGTGGTGTTCTTTGAGAATTTTTAGATTAATAGGATTTTTGTTCTTCTTAGTTGTAGTGTCATTAACTTTACTTTTAGTTTTGTTTTTTGTTGAGTAGTCCATTTAGATGAGCATGGCTGAGCAGAGTAGTCACAATTTGGTTGAAATGAGCCAAGGAGTCCAAAAGCACCTCATGTTAACCGCACTGGCATCTCAGCTAAACGACTTGGCCACCAAGATATCAGAGGTGGAAAACCAGTGCACAAGTCTTGGGAAGTACATACCCCCTCATGAGCGGAGGGAGTCTAGAAACCATGAACACAGTTGTGTTGAGGATACACTGCAAATCATTCTCCTAAAGGTCACTAAACAGGACCGAGTGATAAACGAGATAAAGGAGAACATTGAAGTGTTGAACCAAATGGTTGG